TTTATGTATAAATGTTCAAAAAAAGAGTCAAATGATGTCTAATTTTGCTCGGGTGTCAATGGTAGACCGATCGCTTTTCTAATAGTGCTGACCATAAGTTGTGGTAGCTATCCGAATCTAAGAGAAACACGAATGGACTTTAGATGCTTATTGATGCTAGCGCATGCTTGATGACGAAGAGCTTTTTTGGGTCGAAGAGGAGCTGAGACCGAGGTTGGGCAGCCATGGCGATAATTCTGTCGCTTTATGTGTGGATATCCGACTGGCAAACCGAATTATATGTCTTTACTATCATAGATACTCTGAAGTTTTAGCATCCACAAGGTTGAGATCATCATGATGTCCATTGACTCTTTTATGAGCTTATAATGAGAGCTGGATGATTACGCTTTTGATCCTATGTAGGGTAGGAAAGAGTGCCTGAAAGTCAATATCAAATTCGAGCTAACGCGGGTGAAAAGGAGACTTGTACAAGTAATCTCTCATCTTCTTATGTTCTGACGTGATGATAATTTCATACAAAGGTGAACCGATCACATCCGTGTGGAATTCCCTAAGAAGACATCTTGAATTGTGGGTGGGCTGTCATAGACGAAGTTAAGCTTTGATGCCCCCATCTTTTACTCAGTAACGAATGTTGACCATTAACCTTTTCTTTACACCATAAGGATAGTTCGTTAGCAAAAAATGCCTAATAGGCATTCTTTGGGCACTTAATACTTTGTGGAATATATGATGAACTCATGAGCTAATGACGATCATTTTTTTTTTTTTGCAAAGTGCTGCATCCCAAAACAAATATGCAAAAAATCGAATATCAAGTTCGCCATCCACACGCTCATTAGTTGATTTTTTGTGCCTCACTGGTATTGGTATACAACTGAACTTTACCAGTGTAGGTCATGTCTGCTATGAATCAATTGGCAAACTTCAGTTCCTATCAAAATAATGTTATTGTTCACGGATTGATGACTTTGGACGTATGTTAAGTAATTAACCCTTATAAGTATCTTCTCTAATATGCAGATCTCCTCGAAAAATATATTTTAGATGGAGTTTGGATAAGTCCTACTTTCTGTTCTCCTGAATCTCTTTGAACTTTTCATCATATCGAATAATTGACCCCTTGAGTCTCTTTTTTTCGGTTCTTATATCATGGCAATAAGATGGAAGCGGTATTTCATTGGGAATCTTTACCCATAATGCATGCTTCACATGGTGGCGTAGGTTTTGCCTTAAGGACACTAAAATAGATAGACCAAACCAAAGTTTTCTAGGCATTCTTTATGTTGTAGCCATCACGTTGGCTAGAGAGGAAAGCTTCTGAACTCTTGAAGGTCCCAGAGAATTCATTCAAGAATGACGAATGATCACAACAAGTGTTCTCCAAATTTTTGTTGCATGAACAATACTCCTCTTCGGATTGGTTCGTATGCAATGGGCTCCCGTGTAGCTGAATTCTAGGTCTCGCCAATTTTCATAGAGTTGATATCAACTTGGTCACCTACTAGAAATCGTGTGGTACACTCTGATTTATTTTATATGAATATCATTTAATTCTCATTGGTTGACCTCTTGGTTGAATATCAATTAAGTAATTGCCCTTCTTGGGTCTTTCGTTGATTAAACATCATGTATGTCATAGGTCTCTTTAGTAGAATGGCCTCTTGAGTCGGATATTTTCTTGATAGAGTTTGGATAAATTTTGTTTGTATCGTCCTTTTAACCATCTTTGGTCACTTTATCGTATCAAATAGTTGAATTAATGGGCCTTTGGTCCAATGGTACTCCTTGTCTTATAAAAATTTTATTTTCTTAAGGTCAAGGGTTCAAGTACCCATCTCTTTTCCCTTTCCCCATCCCCTTCCCAAAAAAAAAAAAAATTTGGGTCTTTATCTTTAATTGTTTGACCTCCTTGGTCAAGTAGTTATTTGAACTCGGATCATAATAAATCTGTCATGGAATTTGATGGTGTATTCTGCATGGTTAAGTAGAGTAATGGATTGGGGATCTGTTGATGGGATTCACTGGAATATCTAGTCAAATTTTCTAGGCTCTTGGTGGTTGAACAATCAATTTTGGGATGATAGCTGTGAGCAGAAATCAATAGACGGGAGATTTATAGTGGTTTACCAACTCAAAAGCTTGGCTAATCCACTCTAATAGAGTCTCTTGCTCCTGGAGAGTTTTCTATTACTTGGAGAAGAAGGCTACAGAATCATAGGGAGCCAATGTCCGTATGCTTGATTGATTGATTACAATGTCAGGGATTTCATCCCAATTTATAGTATGTTGTAACCTGTCGTAATAATTGCGATCCTTGCGTAACCGTCATGATCCTTTCGTGATCAACAGGATTCCCTTGGTGATTTTATGACTCGTGTGATGGAATGTTTGGGCGTTAGAGACTACATTCCATAAGTGTGACGTGGCCTTCTAGAAGATGTGGGCTATCATTGTCATAGCACACACGAGGGTTATGTTAGTGATGATTCCTAACATGTGCCTCTCGAACTAAGAGTCTCAAGCTGGAAGGTCAAAGCTATAAGGTCAAACCTGGGATGTTTGATCTGTGACATCTCAGTTGAGGTGTCTGAGCTTGGATGATCACCTGGAAAGCTAGGGATTGAGAGGTTAGCTCATTCAACTGTCCTTAGCTGTCTCGACTAGAACCCAAATTCTAACTTTATATCGTGGGCCCTTATTTAAGGTCACCCCCTAATTTGCTACTAGCTTGAGCTTGGCCTTGGCTAATTTTTGGTATCATCAGTTGTCCCCCAGTCTCTAGCCAGGTAAGCCTTAACTGACGTGGATTGGGAATGACTTACGCTATTGGCTATGGATAAAATCGGTTTGTTTTTTACTTGGGAGGTGCACAATGGGACATTTCTCAAGGCTTTTGGTATTACACGCATTGAGGGGCCACGTGTGCCTTGATTATCGTGCATGCCCAATGTTTTTGCACCACATGTCCAATCGTATGAATGCCTTAAATGCTTCTGCAGACAAAAAACCACCAAAAACTCTTCTTTTTCACATTTTTTGCCTTTTCAAATCCTTCCTTCCTTCTTCCACAAAACAACACTTTTTGCCCTTCGCTCTGCAACTTCTTCTTTTTTCCTTCCTCTGTTTGTCAAGCGCTCTCAATGAGTGACCAGATCTTCCTTGGGTCTACTTCGAGGATACAAGAAGCTTTTCCCCAACTTTCTAGGCATTTTTCTTGGTTTTCAACTATCAATCGCCTTCATTTAGGTACGTCTATCTCATCTATTTTTAATTTCTCTCTCCTAATCCTTCGAATTCGAGGTGGTTATTCCACTTTCGGTCATTCCGTTTTTCTTACTTTAGGTGGTTAAGTCATTTTTTGTCATTTCTTCCTATTTTCTTGGGATCCCTATGCGACCACTAGGGTTTTCCTCTTTGGCCATTGATGTCTTGACACTCGAGCTCTTGAAGATTGTTCTTCAAACATCCCTTCTCTCAACGCTTCTTTTGGCTATTTTGCCCCTCGTGCCTTCATGTCTTTTTCTTCTAAGGCTACAAGGTCTTTTGTCTTTCATTCCATGGTTGATAGATCTCTCGAGGTTGAGGTTCAATCTCATCGTCATAGACATATTGGTTGAAATGATGTTTCGAGCTCCCTAGAGGTGAGTCAAAGGGTCAACTTGTCTGATCTTAATAAACTTGATGACCTTGGGGATATGGGAGATGAGATGGAAAACTTCCCCAGAGTTGATGTGATCGACGCCCGGGCTATTAGTGCTAGGGCTCCCCTATTCCTTCCTTGCTCATTCCCAGCTCAACTGCAAAGCCTAAGAGGTCTCAAAAGCGACGAGCTAAGAAAAACGTTGTCGGGACCTTGGGCACGGTTGAGGAAGCTGAGGTCACTCCAGGAACCTTAGACACCTCGAGACCTGGTAAAGTTATCCCTCTTCTGCTTGGCACAATCTCTGCTAGGTTTAGCTTCTTTAGGAATATGCATGTCTAGTGTCCCAATGTGGACAACCAATATAACACCGTGCTTCTTCTGAATACCTACTTCTTTTTGGCCGCCTCTAATAACGGTCTTAGGTTTCCTATACACCTTTTCTTGAAGTTTGTTCTCTAGCATTTCAACGTATGTCTTACTCAACTCTTTCCCAACTTTTGTGGTATCCTAGTAGGCCTTCTGGTTTGCTTAAGAGAAAATGACCTTGTTGGTTTCCCTCTATTCCTTTACTTTTGCATTTCTTCAATGTTAAATTCTCTCTTGCTAATGACTTTCTTTACATCTCCAAACGGGTGAAGACCCAATATCTAATACCGACCTACCGTCCTCCCATAAAGGTTGGAAAAATAGTTTCTTCTTTATGTCTAGCAAGGAGTCAGAATTCAATCCAAGGGATGCCTCAGATACACTTCTAGTACCTCAGTCTTGGTCAGACCCAGATAATTTAGGTGAGTCGATGTTGAGGTGCTTTAGTTGAGCTCTTTTTATTTTATCTTCTCAAACCCTATTGCCTTCCTTTGTTCTTTTCAAGTATTCACCCTAACTTTGACTTAGAAAATAGGCTCCTCCTTAGAGACCTTAAGGAGTGCTCCCCTAAGAAATAAGTCAAGCTCCTCATGCCTTCGATTCTAGCCAAACACAGCTTTTGACCACCAGAGGCAAGGGGTGAAGCTGTTGTACCCTTATCTGTAGTTTAAGATGAAGATTTTACTAATAGGACCCTAACCTTGTTCTTTAGAAATTTATTCTATTTTGTAGGGTCTCAGGTCTAACGCTTTGTTTCTCTTTTCCTGCATAGATCTTTACACTATGCTCCAGATGTTGAAGTCGTTAAGGCAAAGCTAGATAAGATAAGAGAGGATGCCAAAGCTTTGAAGGCCTTAGGAAAAAGAAAGGCTAAGGTCGTTCTTGATTTTGACCTAGAACCTTCAGCCAAAACGGCAAGGATAGACTCCAAGAAGGCTTTTCTTTTCGCCTACTCCCCAAACCATCTACTAAGGCTAAGAAGACCATGGATCCTGCAGAGGTCAAAACGATTCCAGTGAAGGCGACCAAGACCTCGGTCATGCCTAAGGAGGTGATTGAGACCTCTATTGGAGTGACTCTTTCTCATCTTGATCCCTATACAGCATTGAATCTAAAGGAAACATCCTCGAGAGTGCCTCATGGCACATCGGCAAGTCCCTCGGCTGGTGAGGCCAGAGGTGAGCGTTCCCTTTTGGGTGACATGAACCTGGCTACTAGTGTCATTCTCTCGATCACCCTTGAAGCTGACATCTAGGAGGCTTTCTCGATGTCTCTTTCTACCTCAGCTGCCACTACCTTATACAAGGAAACTTTGGTATGATCTTGACCTTTACCTTCAGTGCCCAATGGAATTCTCTTACTGACCTTTAACTTGAGTGTACTTCTATTTTTTTTTTTTTTGTAGATGGTGATACACGTCAGAGCTCATGTGAACAAAGCTCGAGTTTCGGAGAAGGCTATTGAAGGTGCCAAGCAATCCCTTAAGGCTTCTGAGCTCAAGTTTGCTGAAATGGCCTTCGAGAATGACGATCTTGATAAGTAGATCAAGGTCTTGAACTTAGAAGTCAAACTGAAGACGGATGAACTTAATCAAGCTCGATCAGATGCGAAGAAGGCCTGAGAGGTGACAAAGGCAGTAAAGGATAAGCTGAAATAACTGAGAAAGATCAATGTTGTCTGCCTTAAGGAGATTGAGGCAGAGAGATCTAGGGTGGTTGAAAGGGATGTCGCTATCGTGAGCTGAAGGACGGGAATGTCACTGCCTGAACCAAGGGCTACTTCGTCTTCCAAAAGCAAGCTATGAAGAAGTTTCCTGACTTAGACTTCAACTTCAACTTCGAGCCTCCTTTTGTAGAGAAATAGAAAGAAGAAGATAATAGACTTTCAGTTGAGAAGGAAGGAGTGACTGAAAAAAAAGCTGCAACTACTGATGAGGTAGCTCCTAATCCTTCTCTACCATTGGTTGTTCCTATTTGAGGCAGTGACCTCAACCTCTGTTGTGCCTGAGGGTTGGTCCAACCTAACTATTTCATTGCCTAAGGGTCAATCAGACGTAGCTCCTGCTCTTCTTGAAGTTTAAGCAAATGTTATTGACCCCGAGTTGCTTGGAGCCATTGAAAAGACCGCTACTTTTGGTATAGATGCTTAGCTTTTTTATCTTTTAGAAATTTTAAGCTCTGTAACTTTCTGGATATCGAACTTTTAGCTCTGTAACTTCTAGTTTTGAATGATAACTGATTTTGAAAAATTCTATTTATTTAATTAGCAATTTTTCCTTTCTTCATGCTTGAGGTGTGGAGATATGTCTCCTTCCTTGCCCCCTGCTTCAAGAAGGGTCTTGATCTCCTAAAATTATTTGTTTCAAAACTACCTATTTATGAGTCTGAAGTCTATGTGGCCCCTAAACTTGGGCTTCATGAGCTTGAAGAGTCTTAAAGAGCTCACTATCTGTTTATGAGTCTAGGAACTCATCTCATTTCTATGAGTTTGAAGGGCTCATCTTATATTTATAGGCTGAGGAACTCATCGTTTGTTTATAAGATGAAGAGCCCATCTTATTTTTATGAGATTAATAATTCATTGTTTGTTTATGAGTTGAAAACTAATCTCATATTTATGAGCTGAGGAGCTCATTATTTGTTTATGAATTGAATAGTTCATCTTATTTTTATGAGTTTAAGAACTCATCGCCTATTTATAAGTTGAAGAACTCATGTTATATTTATGAGCTGAGGAACTCATCGTTTGTTTATGAGCTAAAGAGTTCATCTTATTTTTATGAGTTTAAGAACTCATTATTTGTTTATGAGTTGAAAAACTCATCTTATATTTATGAGCTAAGGAGCTCATCGTTTATTTATGAGCTAAATATCTCATTCTATTTTTTTGAGGTTAAGAACTCATCGCATTCTCTAAAGGAATTATCTGAGTTTTTCATTTGTTGTTGAAAATCTTTACAAAGGACCCCTCTTCTTTTGCTTTCTAGCTTCACCTTACTATTGGTAAACCTCTTCAAATGGTTTATGTTCTATGATTGAGGTAGGGTTTTTCCTTCTTTAGTTTGTAGCTTGTAGTTTCCTTGCCTAACCATCTTCGTGACTATGTATGGTCCTTTCTAGTTGGGTCCTAATTTCCTATGTGCGGGGTCTTTTCAAGCCAGAAGAAGTTTCGTTAGGACAAGATCTCCTACTTTGAAACTTCTTTGCTTAAACTTCTTGTGGTAGTACCGTGCTATCTTCCTATGATAATCTAAGATGCGTTGCAGGGCATTACTCCTTTCCTCATCTAATAGGTTACTCAGAGATGGAGTACCTATTTCACCAGGAACCACTACCTCAATACCATAGGTAAGAGCTAAAGGTGTCTCGTTCGTGGCTTTTCTGGAAGTGGTTCTATAAGCCCATAGTACCCTTAGGTACTTTGAAGCTTCAAGTCTGGTCTTGAGAGCTCCTTTAATGGTTTGGATGATGACTTCAGTCTGTCCGTTGGACTGTGAATGAGCTAGTGCGGAGAAGTAGTTTTTTATGATGAGCTCGGCATAGAATCCTATGAACACTAAATTGTCGAACTACCTTGCACTGTCTGAGATGAGGGTCCTTGGGATCCTAAACTTGCAAATTCTGGACTTCTAGGCAAAGTTTTAGATTTTCTGCTTTGTGATCTTCACAAGGAGCTCTACCTCGGTCCACTGAGTAAAATAGTCGACCCCTATTATAGTGAACTTGCACTACCCCGTGCCAACTGGGAAAGGTCCTAGTATATCCAATCCCTATTGCTAGAAAGGCCAAGGGCTTATCTCCAAGGTGAGGAGCTCTGGAAGGCAGTGCGGTATATTTGCATTGAGTTGACAGACCTTGCATTTCTTGACTAACACTTTTGCGTCCTTGATTATTGTTGGCCAAAAATACCCCTGCCATAGTGCCTTATAGGCTATGGTGTGAGCTCCAATGTGGTTGCCACAAATGCCCTTATGAATCTCCCTTAATACATAGTTCACTTCGTCTTCTCATATGCATTTCAGGAAAGGTGAAGAGAAGACTCTCTTGTACAGCTTTCCTTGGAATCTGCAAGTAGAATCCCATTTTGTAAATAAGCTAGGACTGGATCCATCCAGGTCATCTATGTCTCAATAAGAAGAACCTCGTCGGGTTCAGAGCATACTGAAGGCTTGGCTAGTCTAGCTAAGGCGTTTGCTCGAGAATTCTCAACTCGGTTGATTTGTATACTCTTAACCTAAACGAATATTTCCAACAACTCTTACAACTTTTTTAAAAATAGTGTCATCCTCTCCCCTAGCTTTGTATGTCACCTCAATCTACGTCACCACCAGCTACGAATCACTGTGTATTATGAGTTGTTCCACTTCCATAGAATGAGCTAATCTTGGCAATCATTTCCTCATACTTTACTTCATTGTTTGAAGCCTTAAAATTGAACCTAAGGGCATACTCCAAGTCTATTTTATTTGGTGAGGTTAGGATCAAACCAGCTTCGCTACCTTGTGTGTTGGATGTCCCATCAATCAAGAGTTTCCATGTCAGGAGTTCAGGGACGAGGTTATTTGAGTCCTGAGGTGCCTTTTGACCTGCAAGAATAGTGAATTCTGAAATAAAATTAGCTAAAATCTACCCCTTAATGGCGAGTTTGGGGTTGTACTTGATGTCGAACTCGCTGAGCTTGATTGCCCATTTTACTAGCCTTCTTGATGACTCTTATTTGTGCAAGATCTGTTTCATTGATTAATCCGTGGGAATTTCTATCGTATGATCTTAGAAGTAAGGCATAACCCTTCTTGCTACTGTCACCAGGGCTAGAACTAGTTTCTCTACCTTTGGGTACCTCTCATCTTCCCCTCTCAAAGCTGCGCTTGTGGAGAAATCTGACACAACAAGGTACTAGGTAAGAAATTTGCCTTCTCAAGGGCTAACCAAAACTAGAGGTGATCTGAGGTATTTCTTAAGAGTTTTGAATGCCTCTTCACATTGATCATTCCAATGAAAAGCTGTTTTCAGTACTTTGAAGAATGACTGGCACTTATTGCTCGATCTAAAGACAAAACAACTTAATGTGGCTATTCTTCCTTTCAAAAGTTGGACTTCCCTGATATTTTTGGGTGACTACATGTCAATCATTTCTTAGACTTTCTCTAGATTGGCCTCGATGCCTCAGCTATTGACTATGAAGCCCAAGAATTTATGTGCAAAGACCCCAAAGGCACACTTTGCAAAATTGAGCTTCATCTTATACTTTTTGACCTTCAGTGATTTCACTTACTTGTCATCAATATAGACCTCCATAAATAACCTAATTTGTCCTTGAAACATAAGATTCACCAACTGTTGATAGTTGGTCCCTGCGTTTTTTGAGCCCGAATGGTATGACCTAGTAATAATATGTCCTTTGCTTAATTACGAATGATGTTTTTCTTAGTAATTAGGGTACATCTTGATCTAGTTATATCCTGAGAAGGCGCCCATAAAGTTGAACAACGCGTGCCCAACTGTGCCATCTAAGATCAGGTTAATCCGTGGGAGTGAGAAACTGTCTTTTGGGCAAACACAGTTTAGGTCAGTGAAATTAATGTAGAACCGCTACTTACCATTAGTTTTCTTCATGAGGACCACATTTGCCAAATAGGTTAGGTAATCAACTTCCCCAATTTCTTTGGCATGGAAGAGCTTAGAGACCTCTTCATTTATGGCTTTCTGGCACCCAGGGGAAAAGCTTCTTCATTTCTACTTTATGGGCTTATAGGTCGGGTCAACACTAAGTTTATGCACTATGATTACTAGGTCGACTCCTTGCATGTCCTCTTGTTTCCAAGTGAACACCTTGATGTTTGCTTTTAGGAACTGGATGAGGAGGTGTTTGACCTCCTTAAGAAATCTCGAAATGATATAGTCCAAGTGTCCTGGGTCATCGTCCAGTTGAACAGGTTCCAACTCCTCTAAAGGTGTGGGCCTTGTCTTCATTTTGTTCCTCATGTCGAACTCATCTAGTTATCGAAGCCACGTAGCACTCCTTTGCTATGTACTGGTCTCCTTGGATTATACCCACACCATTCTCAATTGGAAACTTCATCACCAAATGGTAAGTGGATGGGATGGCCTTAAGGCATTGAGGGAAGGTCTTCCCAAAAGGATATTGTAGGTCGAAGGGGCATCTACAATTAGGAAAT